ACCACTAAAGGATGAATGAGATCTGAATAAACAAGAAAGTCTGCTCTCACAAAAATATTAGATTATAATATGTGTAATATAAATATATTGTGTTTTCAAATATTTATCAGTACACATACACTTAACCACAAGCAATATTTACATGTATGTTAAATGTGTATGAGTAATCCTTAATAAATTCAATTGAGAAATGAATTTATTTCATATTGCATTTTTGTACAAAGTTCAAAGCTCATGAGGCTTATAACAATGTGACTGAACACATAAATCATATATATATGTATAAATAATGGAATCTACTTTCCTTATTTTAACTGCAAATTTTCAAAGAAATTTCTGTATCAAATAATTCTAAACCTCATTATCTTGGACAATGTTACTGACATGAATGAAAAGAGCTATACTTAGAAATGAAATAACCATTACATACCCCATGTCCACTGCAATTTATGTTTGAGTCACAATTTGTTCTCTGTGCATATGAATTCCTAGAAGAACAACGTCCCTGGTCACAATACTAAAATGTTAAAACAACAAACAACAAAAACTGTAAATGTAAAGCCAAGAGTTGAGCATTTGTACTTGGTACAAAAATTAAATGCACAATATATTTTATATTTATATTTCATATAAAATATATATAATATGAATCTGGATTTCATGGCATCTACTCATTCTAAAAGAAGAACTTGGGAGTCGGGGGTCCAAATGGCATGTTATTACTTTACCAAATATAAAATTTTGAAATGAGATACTATTTCTTTCCTATGAGGGAGCTGTGATTTTATTGATATATTGATACTAATTGGTATAAGAACAAAAATAGCCAAGTTGTACTGACCATTTATAATGAGCTTGGGTCTATCTTTGCACTTTCTATGTATCTTTATAATACATACTCATAGATACTCAAAGGAAATATTTTTTCCTCATTTTATATTTGATGATAATAAATCTACTCTTTTAAATTCAAGCACAAGTTATCGAGAGCCAATATTCAGTGCAAGAACTCCTTTTGTCACAGAACCACATATGGATCAATGCTAAATAAGAGTGTTCTTGTCATTTTTAAATATTTTTATATTTTTCCAGCTTTAATGGCAATATCTCTTACCTTTCATATTTACACTAAAGCAAGTTATTTAATCTCCCCATACCTCCTTTTACCCATCTTTGAATTTGGAATAGCAATTATACCCAAATTTTTAAAAAGTGTAGGTTATGAGGATGAAATCATTTGTTAGACGTAAAGGAACAAAAGCAGTGCCTGGCATGTAGTAAATCCTCACTACATACAAGATATCATTTAATTATTATTTATTTGACTTGATTTCTATGTAAGCTCTATGTTAAATTTAATTTAATTTGAATATCTTCAGGGGAGTCTGTAAAAATTATCTGTTGGCTTTTCTCAAGTTATCTGATAGAATATTCACTATATGATGAATAGTCCTAAAAATCATTATGTTCTATCACCATTAACCAATCATCATAAAGGAAAGAATATCAGCTTGTTCATTAACTACAAGTGCTCTGATGAAGCCAGGAAGAATAACAAAATGTTGGACAAATCAGCATTACCTGTCCACAAAACCATCTTCATTCTAGTTCTCCTTAAACATTGTCATTGAGGCAATAATAAACTAGTCATATTTCACTGGGTTGTCTTTAGGGGAAAAATAATTCAGGAAAAGTTAAGACCCATGTTTCTGATACAGTTTCTTTCAAGTAAACAGATCAATTTGTAGCTGGCTCTTTTGTAATGACAGGAAAAGTAAGGAACACCATAAAAGTACTTAGCCCTGGGCAATGGTTGGGATGATGTTTTGAATATAAACTAATCTACAAGACTTCCTTCTTTGTACAACAGACAAAAATAGTGTCCCAGAAGCAGCACATCATGGTTCAAAAAAAAAAAAAAAAAAAAGAAACAATATAAGTAAATACATATTTCCTAAAGAGAAATGCCTGGATCATGTAAGCATATTTTTTTTATAGTCCCAAGTATGAGTAAGAAAAAGGCAGTTAATTTTATTTATTTACTCATTGATTAGCTTCTCTAATTTTGGACAGTTAAATGTCCCTTTTTTCAAGTTTGAAATGAATGTGCTGAGATGTGTTTATCTTCCCTACCTTACCTAAGTGAGCTAGAAACCAATCTGATAAACTATTCTCCTGTTCTAAGTCTTAAAAATAAAAAAAATCATAAAAGCTTTCTATCACATCCAATACTAAGCAAACTTGCCTTGTTGGAATAATGCTTATCGCTATACAGTATACTTTTGGCTCAGTATATTACAGTATTAAGTACATGTGTTTTATTTAAAATTTTGTTATGATTAATGAGACATATTTTTCTTCATGTTAATAAATAAGATATAAAGTCTCCCCTCTCTCTCTCTTTCTCTTCTTATCAAGATAATTTTTACAAAAGACCCACAGTTAATGAGAGTAAGGTAAAGACATCTTTCCTTTCCAACCACTCTGAAATCAACTGAACAATGTAGAGTAACAATGAAAATAAAGTATATCTGATGAATTTTTTAAATAACCACAGAATAATTCCAATTCAAATTCACAGACATGGCACTCACAATTGCTCCCCTTTTCCTAATTAATGTGAATAAAGGAAAATCAGAACAAGGCAATTAGAAGATGAGCGATTTAAGAACTTCCTGGGATTTCAAAATAAAATGAAGGTCACTGACGGATAAAATGAGGTGAGGAAGCAACCACATCAAATACAATGGTAAAGGACAGAGACTGGTGCATCAGCCTCACAATGCTCTGGAGGATCTGCAGCCTCAGAGTAATAAGGAAAAGCAGAGGAAGAAGAGCCAAAAGGGCAGGTTGGGCAGGGGGGCTAAAATGTGGAATTATCCATGGAAGTGTCCACAAAACTACAGAAGTAGTTAGCTCTCATATTCACTACTCACCTCTCCTTTCTCTCAATTACAAAATGCAGTCAACACAACACTTTTATCCCAATGGAGAAAATTTCTAAAGGTATTTTGTTTCCTAAAACAATTGAATTAAGGATGACTATAGAATTTGGGCTTTTCAAGTGGTCTGTCCTCCAGAAGAGTCGCTATCCAATTAAACTACTGGAAGTACCATGGCCTAAAAGCCAGTTCCCTAATGAAGACTGTCATGTGACAAACCCCTGTTAAATGGAGAAGGCTGCAAATTAGTTGGGGGGTTTTTTGTTTGTTTTTAATTTTAGGTAGTTAACATACAGTGTGATATTGATTTCTGGAGTAGAGCACTGGGTGTTATATATAACTGATGAATCACTAAATTCTGCTCCAGTTTGTTTGTTTGTTTGTTTGTTTTTAATTAAAAATGTTGTGGGAGTAAAAAGTCAGGCCAGCTGAAAGCTCCTATAGAATCAAGTAGGAAAAGTTGGCTTGCCTTCCTTCCTTCCTTCTTTCCTTCTTTCTTTCTTTCCTTCCTTCCTTCCTTCTTTCCTTCTTTCTTTCTTTCCTTCCTTCTTTCCTTCCTTCCTTCCTTCCTTCCTTTCTTCCTTCCTTCCTTCCTTTCCTTCCTTCCTTCCTTCCTATTTTCCTTCCCTTCCCCTCCCTTCAGTTTCCTTCCTCCTTCACTCCTTTCTTTGTTTTCCCTCCATGAGGACATTGGCCAGTTGGGCATAGGTTAATGATCACACTTTCTGAGGCAGAGATTCACTGCTGGAGAGATGAGTGATCTGTAAAGGTTTTAGTGGTCATACACAGTAGTGGGACAAACTAGCATGGCAATCTTCTGTGGCATATGTATGTTTTATTTTAATTGTTATCATTATAACTGTATTTTTCTTGTACATGTTATTTCGCTCTCACTACTAAGATTCTTTTTCTTTGTCTTTAATTTTCACAAATTTCATTATGCTATATTCTGCTGTGGATTTCACTGGGTTCATCCTATATGATGTTCTTTGCTTTTTGCATCTGTGTATTTATGCCTTTTGCCAAATTTGGAAACATTCAAGCACTATTCCCTGAAATACTTTTCCATCCTTAAATTCTTTCTTCTATTCTAGGATCTTAGAATAGCCTTTATCATGACAAAAAGCAATAACAAATGTTTGTGAAGATGTAGAGAAAAGGGAACCCTTGTGCACTATTGGTAGAAATGTAAATCAGAAAATAGTATGATAGAATAGGTAGAATAGTATGGAGGTTCTTACAAAAATTAAAAATAGAAACATCACATGATACAGCAATTCTACTTCTGGGTATTTATCCAAAATAAATGAAAACACGTAACTGAAAAATATATATGCACCTTCATATTCATTGCAGCATTATTTACAGTAGCCAATATATGTAAGCAACCCAAGTGTCCACTGATGAATGAATGGGTAAAGTAAATTCAGCAAATATACAAAATGGAATATTACTTATCCATAAAAAAGAATTAAATCTTGCCATTTGTGACATGAATGGACCTTGACAACACTAGTTGATTGAAATAAGTCAGGCAGAGAAAGACAAATACTGTGTGATCTTAATTGTATGTCTAATTTAAACAACAACAAAATCCAAGCTCATAGATGCAGAGAACAGATTGGTAAGTGCCAATGGTGGGGGACTGGGGGAGTGGATAAAATGGGTGAATGGGTTCAAAAACTGCAAAGTTTCAGTTATAAAATAAATAAGTAATGGGAATTACAGTATAATATGGTGACTACAGTTAATGACACTATTGCGTATTTGAAACTTGCTGAGACAGTAAAACTTGAACGTTCTCGAAATAATAAAAAAAATTTTGTAACTATGTATAGTAATGGATGTTAACTAGATTTCTTGCAGTCATTATTTCACAATATATGCAAATATTGAATCACTATGTTGTACACCTGAAACTAAGGTAATGCTATATTTCAATTATATGTCAATTAAAAGTAGTAACAAATAATTTTTTAAAAATCAATAAAAATGTGTAACAATATATTTGACTCCATACACATTTCTAAATCACTTTCCAGAAAGTATGTGTTAATTTATATTTGTTTTAGGATGATAATAAGTTATGCTTCTCATCATCAGTTATTATTTTCAACTCCTATTTGATTGGACAAAAACAGTAACTGGATATGCATGTAGTCTGTATTTATTTCACCAACGTTGAAGCACACTAAATCTCATTGTTCAAAAGTTTTATAGTGTTCAATCTCTAGCCACACTACTTCCCTTCCTGAAGCTTATGATGAGGCTGACAGTTACAACTCTTAAATCACTTGGTCTTACTAGGGATCAGCTCCATTATAAAGTTATCTAGAGGCCTTATCATGTCACTTCATTAACATAAATGTAGTTTGATTGGAAGAGGTTCTTTATGAATAACAACAACAACAAAAAAACATTCCTCTTACTCAGGAAATTTCAAGGGGTTTAGGAGCTCTGTGCCAGAAATCAGGGATAAAAATCGAATTGTTTTTGTGTGTTATACCACATATATACCATTTGAGTGCTTTTTTTCTTTTTTTTTTAAGATTTTATTTATTTATTTGAGATAGAGAGCACAAGATTGAGAGAGAGAGAGAGAGCATGAGCAGGGGAGGGGTAGAGGGTGAGGGAGCAGGAGAAGCAGGGTCCCTACTGAGCAGGGAGCCTGACATGGGGCTTGATCCCAGGACCCTGGGATCATGACCTGAGCTGAAGGCAGTCACTTAACCAACTGAGCCACCCAGGTGCCCTGAGGGCTTTTTTTTCTAATTAATGAATGATAAAATTAGCTGATAAATTTACATGTTTAATCTTTCACATTTATAGTAAACATTTTTTTCAGTTTGTCTGAAATAATCCTTAAAGGGGTAACATATCACTTTATAAGGTAGCACTATGTCTTCTTTTGTGATTATTTCATTATTTTTATGCAAGAATACTTTTTCCCATTTTGAAATAAATTTACTATTCATTTCCATTTTCCTCTATTTTTCATTTCTTAAAATATTGTGTCTCAATGTAAATTATCTAAATTTAAACAGGAGATACTTGAGTAGTGTTTTACATTGGTCAACTAATTTTTCAATGGTCATAGTTTAAAGATCCTTTATTTTGTTTCTTAAGCTATTTAAGGAAAAGAAAAAGAAATAAAGCTTAAACTCCATTTTATTATTGTGTCTTGTGGGAGGGCCAAATTTTTAACAAGTATTTATTATGCTTTTGGAAGAAAAATTAGAGGAGTTGACTAATGAGCAAATAGCTGTTTTACTTTCATTACAACCAAATTAATTCTTCCTTGTCAGTTATTAAAGGACTAAATACTTGGCTATTTTTGTTTTCTTTGTTATTCTTATTATTCAGATTGTTTTCACTTACTTTTTTGCTATATCACTTGATTCTTTTTTGTTGTTTCTATAAATTTCTGCAGACCAGATCCTAGCCTAATGAAGAGGCTAATATTCTCAAGGATGAGAAAACAATGGTTTAAATATCTATAGCAAAATTCATAATAAACAAAATGATAGTGAAGCAAGTGTTCATTTGACCAACAGAAATTCTGAACTTTAAATCTTAAGATCTTGATGTAGTAACCAAAATTTGTAATATTAATTATAAAAACAAATGTTAAGGTCTTCTCTGTTTCCCATATGTGTGCATGTGCACATACACACACACAGACACCCACACACCACATATATAATCAAGTCAAAATGTTATTTACCATATTTGGACCACACATAGTGCCATTTGATGTATAGGTATAATCTTCTGTCACATGTGCTGTTGGTATTCTTAAATATGAAGAGACACACAGATGGCCTTCCATGTAAGTATACTGAATATCAAATTTTTTAAATGGTATTATTTCTAAATGGGTCCAGTAACAAACTATCTTTCCACAAAGGATATCCCTGGTAATAAGGCAGAAAAAATTATCTAAATGTCACTTAAGGACAAAAATATAAGGGAAATAACAGTTCAAAATATGAGGATAATTGAATACGTTACATATCATAGCACCAAAGCTATTCAAAACAAAACAATCTTAGGAAATGCAACATAAATATTTATCTGTATATAATGCATTCATTTCTCATTTGTATTAAACAACTCTTTGTAGTACAAACACACAAACACAACTGAAAAAGGTATAATTTTCTAAATACACACCTAAAATTACAAAAATCTCTTCTGCAGTTTCCAAAATCATCGTCATGCATATTCACTTCTTGTGTACACAAGAGAGTAGAACCTTTTGCAACTGAAAATATAAATAAAGTTCCAATTACTCATCTTTAAAAATATTAAAAACTGAAAGTATGGTAAATTAATATAGAGACATCTAGACAACAGCAATGCCCAGTCAGTGTCAGCTACAATAAAATTTTTGGTGTCATCTACTGGCTATACAAGAAGAAGAAACACTAAAAACTATCCACTTGAGAATAGTAAAATTGCTATCACAGTGCAGAAATTATTAAGAAATCAAACATTTACTCTCTTACCTGCAATTCTAATATTCTACTCCTTTCCCACCAATTACCTGAACTTTGACTAATATCTTATTCTTTTTGTCTTATAATTATTAGATCTACCTCTTGATGTAGTTCAAAGTTGTTTTGATTTGCAATTTTATTTTCAAATTTGGATTTACACAAGCAATACCTTTTATCATGACCACAGGGTAGATTACTAACTTTAGGAAAATGTAGTTTAAAAATGAACCCTGAGAAGCCCACACAGGAAAGAAAAATCCCCATAATATTTGGCTTTAAAAGCAAGAGGAGCTAAATTTTATGAATTCTTACAACCAGTGGGACTTAAATCCTGGAATTTTAAAAATCAGCAGCTAGGCTCTGGTTGAACCCAGAGGGCATTAGGAAGCTGAGTCCCCACTCTTAGACAGCAGGACAAACAGCCAGCAGAGATATAGCATGGAAGCAGCAGTTTGAAAAATACCAGGGGCAGACAAGAGGGAGAGGGATTTACTCATCCCAGAGCATCATTTGGAGAAGCAAGGATCATGGAGAAATGTCTCCAGGAACAAAGAAGCTGTCAGGTGCCATTTTCCTCCCCAAACCCCCAGTATAAACACAGGGCCACCTGCAGGAAACAGCATGGTGCAAAGAAAGTTGATACCTAACTTTCTTACACCAAGCCCCACCCTCTGTGCTTCAGTGGACTGGCCCTCCCCAGTCATGCTTGCTCAATCCCAGTGCCATGGCCCCCACCCACCCCCAGAAGACCAGTGCAAAACCCACCAACACCCAGTCAACAGACCAAGGAGTTTTATGGGACCTCAGTTCCTGCAGTGATGGTGGCAGCAGGTCTCATTTCACAAGAAGACCAGCACACACTTTGTTAAAATGTGCTGCACCCAGCCATGGACAAAACACTGTGCACAACAGGCAAAGAGAGCCTCTGCAGACAACTTTATTGAAGGAAAAAGAGACAAGGTTCAGGCAACACACATAGGAGACACTCACTGAAGCCTCAGGTCCTGGGGAACAGGAACGCTGTACTGCAGGGTACTAAAGGAGCATTTCTTCATAATGCCATTACTTTCAATAGCAAGAGAAATAGCTGACTTTCCTAACAAGGAGAAAAAATGAGGAGACAGAGGAATGTACCCCAAATGAAAGAACAAGACCAAACCACAGTAAGAGACCTCACCAAAACAGATATAAGTAATATGACTGATAGAGAATTTAAAGTAGTAATCATAAAGACACTCACTGGACTTGAGAAAAGAGTGGAGGACATCAGTGAGACTCTTTAAGAAAAAGATAAAAAAGAACCAGAGATGGAGAACACAATAAATGAAATTAAAAATAGAAAAAATAACAGGTTAGATGAAGCAGAGGAAAGAATTAATAACCTGGAAGGCAGAGTACTGGAAAGTAATCAAGCTGAGCAAATGAGAGTAAAAATAATTATGCAAATTGAGCATAGTCTTAGGGAACTTAGTGACTGCATCAAGCATAAAATATTTGCATTATGGGGATCCTAGAAGAAGAGAGAGAAAAGGGAGCAGAAATTTTTTGAAGAAATAGTAACTGAAAATAATTGATAGTAATACAATAACAATAGGGGAATTTAACACCCCACTTACGTCAATGGACAGATCATCCAAACAGAAATACAACAAGGAAATAGTGGCTTTGAATGACACACTGGATTTAACAGATATATTCAGAACGTTCCACCCTAAAAGAGCAGAGTACACATTCTTTTCAAGGGCACATGGGACATTTTCCAGAATAGATCACCTAGTAGCCCACAAAACAAGCCTCAACAAATTCAAGGAGATTGAAGTCATACTATGAATCTCTTTTGACTGCAGTGCTATGAAACTAGAAATCAACCACAAGAAAAAAAATCTGGAGAAAGCATAAATACATGGAAGTTAAATAACATACTACTAAACAATAAATGGGTCAACCAAGAAATTAAAAAAATGACATCAAAAAGAACATGGAAACAAATAAAAATGAAAACACAGTAGACCAAAACCTCTGGGATGCAGAAAAAAAAAGCAGTTCTAAGAGGGAAGTTTATAGCAATGCAGGCCTACCTCAAGAAGCAAGAAAAATCTCAAATAAACAACCTAACCTTGTACCTAAAGGAGCTACAAAAAGAACAACATACAAAACCCAAAACCAGCATAAGGAAGGAAATAATAAAGATTAGAGCAGAAATAAGTTATATAGAAACAAAAGAAACAGTAAAACAGATCAATAAAATCAAGAGCTGGTTCTTTGAAAATATCAACAAAATTGATAAATCTCTAGCCAGACTAAAAAAAAAAAAGAAAGAAAGAGAGAGAGAGGACCCCCCAAAAAATCAGAAATGAAAGAGGAGAAATAACAAACAACACTACAGGTACACAAAGAATTATAAGAAAATATTATGAAAAATTATATGCCAACAAATTAGACAACCTAGAAAGAATGAATAAATTCTTAGAAACATATAACCTACCAAAACTGAGGCAGGAAGAAACAAAAAAATTTGAAAAGATCTATTACTAGCAAAATGAAATTGAATTAGTAATCAAAAAAAAGTTCCCAACAAACAAGAGTCCAGGACCAGGTGACTTCACAGGAGAATGCTACAAAACATGTAAAGAAGAGTTAATACCTATTTTTCTCAAACTATTCCAAAAAATAGAAAGAAGGAAAATTTCCTAATCCATTCTATGAGACCATAATCACCTGATATCAAAGCCAGATAAGGACACCAAAAAAAAAAAAAAAAAAGAAAGAAAAGAGAATTACAAGACAATATATCTGATGAACATAGAGGCAAAAATCCTCAACAAAATACTAGCAGTCCAAATTCAACAATATATTAAAAAGTCATTCACCACAAACACATGGAATTTATTCCTGGGATGCAAGGGTCGTTCAATATTCACAAATCAATATCACATCAATAAGAGACAGGGTAAGAACCATATGATCATTTCAATAGATGCAGAAAAAGCACTTGACAAAGTATAACATCCATTCATAATAAAAACCCTCAAAAAAGTAGATTTAAAATACAAAGAAATCCTATCCACAGCAATCAGACAACAAAAAGAAATAAATGGTATCCAAATTGGTAGAGAAGAGGTCCAAGATGGTGGAGGTGTAGGAGACCTTAGTTTCGTCTGGTCCCAGGAATTCAGCTAGATAGCTATCAAATCATTCTGAACACCTGTAAACTCAACTGGAGATCGAAAAAAGAATAGCTGCAACTCTGCAAATAGAGAAGCCACCACTTTCTGCAAGGTAGGATGTGTGGAGAAGTGAATCCAAGGCAATATATGGGAAGATAAACCGTGGGGGAAGGGAGTCCCCATCAGCCAGCTACCAGAAAGTGATATAGCCGTCGAGCACAAAATCAGAACTTTTAGAAGTCTTCTCCAGTGGGGAACATCCCTGTCTGAAAGGCATTAAGGTGGCAAAGCAGGGCAGAATCCTAGGTGGGACAGCATGGTTTCAGGATCCCTGGGGTCAAGAAAGAACAGTCGTGCCTGAGTGTGGCAGAGTTCCCAGGCATCTGAGCAGAAAAGCCAGCTGCAATCAACGAGTCCAGGAGTGGACACTCAGCTCAGGGTTGCCATAACCCCCCAAACCACAGTACAATCAGGCTGCTGCTCTCTGAGCAGGGGCCCAGCAAGTGGCAGAACCAAGGCAAACACATCTCCCCCCACCCCCACCCCCCCAGGAGCAGCACAGGTGTCTGCTGCAGGAGACTGTAGGGTTTGGAGACTTGAAGTAGGATCATGTGTCTGAGTGAGCATGGAGGATAGACAAAGACCAAGGAGACAGGAATGATTGATTGCTTTTCCCTGAGGGGCTACTGAGTACTGGGGGGGAGTAAGCTTTCAGCTCTGGGACTGGAGATTGGGAGGCTGCCATTTTCATTCTCATCCTCTATAGTGGCACTGAAAGGCTTCAGGGAACAAAAGCCACCTAGAGCAACCCGGAGTCACTTATTTAGCCTAGCTCCCTGGGAAGGGTGGTGCAGTTCCACCAGGGGCAAAGACGTGAGAATCACAGCAACAGGCCCCTTCACCCAGAAGATCAGGAAGAACATCTAGATAAGACCAAGTTTACTGATCACAAATAACTATAAAACTCCAGTGCTAAAGAGAAATTGTGTCTAGAATTCATGGCTTTTTCCCCATGATTCTTTAATCTTTCAATTTTAATTTTTTTCTCTTTCCTTTTTCAACCAATTTCTTATTTTATCAACTCTTTTTTAAGGCTATTTTTAATTTTCACTTTTACAATTACACAATTACATTCTATCCTTTCATTGTATTTAATTTTATTTGTGTGCATATATAAGTTTTTCTTTCTTTACCATTTTGGGATGTAGTTTCTTCTAAAAAACAGACCAAAATACACTCAGGATATAGTGTATTGTTTTGTTCTGTTCACCTGTCTGTTTTCCTTCTCTCTCTCTCTCTTTTTTTTTTGTCTTTTAATTTTCATTTTTACAGTTACATTCTATCCTTTCATTGTATATAATTTTATCTTTGTACTGATATAAGTTTTTCTTTATTTACAATTTTGGGATCTAGTGTTCTAACAAATAGACCAAAATAACACAGGATCCAGTGTATTGTTCTGTTCTGTTCACCTGTCTGATTATATTCTTTTAATTTTAATTTTATTTTTCAGTTTCAGGTCTCTTCTGGTTTGTTTAGTGTACATTTCTCTGGAGTCGTTGTTGCCATTTTAGTATTTTGTTCTCCCATTCATCTATTCTTCTCTGGGCAGAATGACAAGAAGGAAAAATTCACATCAAAAAAGAGAACAAGAGGCAGTACTGACTGACAGGGACCTAATCAGTGTGGGTATAATTAAGATTTTGGAACAAGAGTTCAGAATAACAATTATAGTAAAGATGTTAGCTGGGCTTGAAAAAAGCATAGAAGACACTAGAGAATCCCTTTCTGGAGAAATAAAAGAACTAAATCTAATCAAGTTGAAATAAAAAAGGCTAAAATGAGATGCAATAAAAAATGGAGGCTCTAACTGCTAGGATAAATGAGGCAGAAGAGAGAATTAATAATAAAGAAGACAAAATGGTGGAGAATAAAGAAGCTGAGAAAAAGAGATAAACAACTACTGGATCACAAGTGGAGAATTTGAGATATAAGTCATAACATAAAGTGAGTATTAGAATTGGGATCCCAGAAGAAGAGGAAAGTGAAGGTATATTGGAGCAAATTATAGTGCAGAACTTCCCTAATTTGAGGAAGGAAACAGGCATTCAAGTCCAGGGCTCACAGAGAACCTCCCTCAAAATCAATAAAAATAGGTCAACGTCTTCATATATAACAGTGAAACTTGCAAATTTCAGAGACAGAGAAAATCCTGAAAGCAGCTTGAAACAAGAGGTCTGTAACCTACAAGGGTAGAAACATTAGACTGGCAGAAGACCTGTCCACAGAGACCTGGCAGGCCAGAAAGGACTGCATGATATATTCAGGGTGCTAAATGAGAAAAATATGCAGCCAAGAATACTTTATCCAACATGGCTGTCATTTAGAGAAGAAGCAGAGGTTAAAAGCTTCTAGAACAAATAGAAACTAAAAGAATTTGTGATCACTAAACCAGCCCTACAAGAAATATTAAAGGGAATCCTTTAAGCAGAGACAGAAACCGAAAGTAACAAACAAAGACCAGAAAGGAACAGACACAATATACAGAAACAGTCATTTTACAGGTAATACAATGGCCTAAATTCATATCTTTCAATAATTACTCTGAACATATGGCTAAATGTCCCCAAACAAAAGACACAGGGTATCAGATTGGATAAAAAAGGAAGACCCATCAATATGCCATCTGCAAGAGACTTATTTTAGACCCAAAAACACCTCCAAATTGAGAGTGAGGGGGTGGAGAATAATGTATCATGCTAATGGACATCAAAAGAAAGCTGGGGTAGCAACCCTTATATAGGACAAAGTAGATTTTAAACCGAAGACTGTAATAAAAGATGCGGAAGGACACTATATCATAATAAAAGGGTCTATCCAACAAGAGGATCTAATAATCATAAACATTCATGCCCATAACATAGGAACAGCCAATTATACAAACCAAATAAAAACACATTGATAATAATACAATAATAATAGGGGACATTAACACCCCACTCATAACAATGGACATATCATTTAAGCAGAAGATCAATAAGGAAATAAAGACTTTGAATGGCACACTGGACCAGATGGACTTCACAGACATATTCAGACTATTCTATCCTAAAGCAATAGAATATACATTCTTCTCGAGTGCACATGGAACATTCTCCAAAATAGATCACATACTGGGTCACAAATCAGGTCTCAACTGGTACCAAAAGATTGGGATCATTCCCTGCATGTTTTCAGACCACAGTGCTTTCAAACTTGAACTCAATCACAAGAGGAAAGTCGGAAAGAATTCAAATACATGGAGGCTAAAGAGCATCCTACTAAAGAATGAATGGGTCAACCAGGAAATTTAAGAAGAATTTAAAAAATAATCATGGAAACAAATGAAAATGAAAACACAAATGTTCAAAACCATTGGGATGCAGTGAAGTCAGTCCTAAGAGGGAAGTATATAGCAATATAAGCCTTTCTCAAGAAACAAGAAAGGTCTCAGATACACAACCTAACCCTACACCTAAAGGAGCTGGAGAAAGAAGAGCAAATAAAGCCTAAACCCAGCAGGAGAAGAGAAATAATAAAGATCAGAGCAGAAATCAATGAAATAGAAACCAAAAGAACAGTAGAACAGATCAATGAAACTAGGAACTTTGAAAGAATTAATAAGATTGATAAACCCCTGGCCAGACTTATCCAAAAGAAAAGAGAAAAGACCCAAATAAATAAAATCATGAATGAAAAGAGGAGAGATCACAACCAACACCAAAGAAATACAAACAATTATAAGAACATATTATGAGCAACTATATGCCAACAAATTAGACAATCTGGAAGAAATGGATGCATTCTTAGAGATGTTTTATAAACTACCAAAACTGAAACAGGAAGAAATAGAAAACCTGAACAGACACATAACCAGCAAGGAAATTAAAGCACTAATCAAAAATCTCCCAACAAACAAAAGCCCAGGGCCAGATGGCTTCCCAAGGGAATTCTACCAAACATTTAAAGAATCATACCTATTATCAGCTGTTTCAAAAAATAGAAATGGAAGGAAAACTTCCAAACTCTTTCTGTGAGGCCAGCATTACCTTGATCCCAAAACCAGGCAAAGACCCAATGAAAAAAGAAAATTACAGACCAATATCCCTGATGAACATGGATGCAAAAATTCTCACCAAAATACTAGCCAATAGGATCCAACAGTCATTAAAAGCATTATTCACCATGACCGAGTGGGATTTATTCCTGGGATGCAAGGGTGGTTCAACATCTGTAAATCAATCAAACACTACATTAAGGAAAGAAAGCACAAGAACCATATAATCCTCTCAGTAGATGGAGAAAAAGCATTTGACAAAATACAGCATCCTTTCTTGATTAAAACTCTTCACAGTATAGGGATAGAAGTAACATACCTCAATATCATAAAAGCTATATACAAAAAACCCTCAACAAATATCATTCTCAATGGGAAAAAAAACTGACAGCATTTCCCCTAGGGTCAGGAACATGGCAAGGATGTCCACTGTCACCACTGTTGTTCAACATAGTACTAGAAGTCCTAACCTCAGCCAGCAGATAACAAAAATAAATAAAAGGCATCTGAATTGGCAAAGAAGTCAAACTTTCACTCTTTGCAGATGACATGATATTCTGTGTGGAGAACCCGAAAGACTCCAGCAAAAAATTGCTAGAAGTGATACAGGAATTGAGCAACAATGCTAAGCAAAATAAGTCAATCTTAGAAAGACAAAGATCACATGATTTCACTCACATGTGGAATTTGAGAAACAAAACAAACTAACAGAGGGAAGAAAAAAAGAGAGAAAGATGCAAACCAAGAAACAGATTCTTAACTATAGAGAACAAATTGATGGTTACCAGAGGTGAAATAGGTGATGGGGATTAGAGTACACTTATCATACTGAGCACTGAGTAATGCATAAAATTGTTAAATCACTGTATTTTACACCTGAAACTAATATAACTCTGTATGTTAACTTTACTGGGAAAAATATAAGACAAAATAATGAAAATGAACCCCAGAAAAACTGCAACTATTACATTTTCCAAATAAGTCTGCACACTGTTTATCTGTATCTTGGCATATCCCATTATAGCAATAGGCAGTCTTATTATTGCATGGTTCTAAATCAGCAGATTTCACATCAGGTACACAAAATTCACTTCTTCCATTGCAAAATTCTGGAAAATCACATGGATCTTTGCTTTCCCGACATACAGTTCCTTTTACAGACATCTGTGGGACAAAGAAAAACAATTATTTTTGTAAAGTAGTAAACCAAAAATATAAAATAATTTAAACAAGAGCAATGTATTTCTGTCATTTCCATTATTACTACATTTTTAACTAAAGTCAAATTATGAATTTACTTAAAAGCTCCAGTGAAACAGATTGGAAAAAACCCAGATGTCCATCAATGGATGACTAGATTAACAAAATTGTGGTATATTCATACAATGGAATATTTTCAGCCATATAAAGGAGCACTGATACATATGCTACAAGGTGGATGAACATTCAATGCTATGTTAAGTGAAGAAAGCCAGACACAAAAGGTCACATATTCTATGCTTCTATTTATATGAAATATCCAGAATAGGTTACTCCAGACAGAACAAAAATTGGTGATTGCCAGGGACTGAGGGGAAGGGAGAAAGGAGAACAAGGGCTTAAAGGGCTGGGAGTCTCCTGTTTGAGTGAGGAATATGTTTTGGAACTAGATAGAGGTGGCAGTTGCACAACATTGTGAACGTACTGAATGCCACTAAATTGTTCACCTGAAAATTGCAAATGTTATGGTACATGATTTTCACCTTAATGTTTTTAAAGGCCCTACCAAATGTAGGAATTATCCATGTGTAAGGGAAGGGGCAAGGCACTGTGTAGAAAAGGCTTATTGCTCAGTTCTGCTGATTTGGAGACAAAGGCCAAGATGAGAGCTCTGGTGAAGGGAAGAGCAACAAGGTTTATTGCTAAGTGGCAGAAACTCTAGGCTTGCCTCTATATTTATGCTCCTTGAAGACAAGTACCACTGGTTTTAGTTATAGCACATAGAGTGAAAAAGAACACACATAGAACAAAGTAGAATGACGTTAGAAGAGATTTCATTGACAGAGAACCTGGCAAATCTGAAATCTGGCAATCAAGATCTCTAATTAATCAGCTTCTATAATTGTTGTTGACTCCTGAAAGTGACACAGAAAAGGCAAGATGCTATGACGTGATCCCCAAAAGACAAATCTTACTCAGTCTCTTTTCAAGTGTGGCTATAAAGGAAAATTGAATGGAAAACTTCCCAAGGGAAGTCAAGGATTCAATCTACTTCTGGGACACACTGTTTAACAGAGTTAAACTTCAGTATTAGACATGCTACATGTTGTTGACTATTCTACATGGACTCCTTTTCTGCCGTTCTCAAAATGAGATTATTATTATTGTTTGTTTATTCAAACATTGAATGTCAACTTTGTGTTGGGTGGCTTATTTGTAATTTTGTCATAAGTTGTTGGGTCATGAAGAGCTACATTCAGGTATGGCCTCAGGTATGACCAAGAGAAATCCATAGTGCCCAAATAATCTAGAATCAGTATTGGATAACTGGATGGATCTTGAATAGAGACTGAAATACAGTGAAGGCAAAGATAAGAAAGAAGTTGAAAAAAATCTAAGAACATCTTCTGAATTCTGAAGTCAACTGTGTATGAATCAAATATTTAAAGTTATATATTTGAAAGTTGTGTAAAAAAAAAAAAGAAGTGAATGCACAAGAACAGAAAAAAATCATGAAAGAAAATACTGTAGTAATTTGAAAGCTTACCAGACAAGTTTCTTTATCACAGCATGCTCCAGTGCCACACTCTGCAAATTCAGTCAGAGTACAATCTGCAGGATTACAGCATTTTCTCAAATGTTTGCAATGCTAAAGGTAAATATAATAAAGTTCAATAATAGGAATTTTCAATCATTTTATTTATTGTCAAAATGTACTCTAGTATGTCTCTTAGTTAATTACAATCACAGTATAATTTTTACTTCTGTATTTATTTATAACACCATTTCATTTAAAACTAATATATTTCCAGTATAGGAAAAGAAGATAGTAATGAAATTATTTATGATCCCATAAATAATAGAAACTGAACTGTTAAAAATTTAATGTAATTTCTGTCAGTCTTCTTTGTGTTCATAAATATATGCACTGTAAATTTAAAAGTATTTTTCCATTTATTATATCATAGTACTTTTTCATCTCATCAATTCTCCTCAAGATATCATTTTGAGAATCCATAAAAATTTATGAATGTGACAAAATAGAGGTTTCTAAATTATAACATTTTATTATTTAAAGGATGTTTCAACGAAAATTTTATTATTATTATTATTTATTTTTATCTCCAAGATTTTATATTAAAGATTAATTCTAGAAGTTATTAGGTCATAGAGTACAAAAATATTAAAGACTATAACATACATTTATTTCCTTCTTTCTATATACTTATCTATTCAGTGCAAGAGTGATATTTCACAAGACTGTTAGTAATATTTAAAAATTAGTAGAGTGATAGGTGTGATAGGTGAAAATAAGTGCTTACATCTGTTTCAATTTTATTATTTTAATTACTAATGAGCTATAAATTTTAAAAAATTCACATTCTGGTTTATATTTCTATGCATATATTTCTGTTAAGGCATTCTGTTTATTTCCTTTATTCATAAGCACTTTTATATTAATTATATTAACCCCTGGCCACTAATATATGTTTACTATGTTTTATAATTTGTCATTGACAACTGACTTTTGTTTTAGTGCATTTTGGGTTTGTTTGTTTGGGTAAATTTTAGATATTGTGAGATTGTGAAATGGTAGAACTATCTGAGAACTCTGAGAACTATCATCTTTTTTTGTGGTTTGTTCTTGAGTTTATGGATAAAACTTTCTTCCACTCTGACCCCAGTAAATATGTGAGTAAAATGTTCGTGTTAGGTTTGAGTGGTGTGTTGTGAAGGAAGCTATAATGATGTATCTCTTTCCCAAAACAGAAGTTAAATTTATCAGTTGCTTTAATAGAATAATAATTTATTCCTGATCTTTTGTAATACCTGGATTGTTATATAAATATGCTATATAAAATTAGATACAATGTCAATGTCTTCAATTACATTAACTGCATATACTAAAGTTTATTTAAAAATGTTATTATTGGGTGCCTGGGTGGCTCAGTCAGTTAAGTGTCTGCCTTCGGCTCAGGTCATGATCCCAGGGTTCTGTGATGGAGTCCCTGCATTGGGCTCCCTGGTCAGTGGGGAGCCTGCTTCTCCCTCTGCCTCTGCCTACCACTCCTGTTTGTGCCTGCTCTCTCTCGCTATCTCTCTGTGTCAAGTAAATAAATAAAATTTTAAAAATGTTATTATATAAGTTTTAATATTTATAGGAGTCAGGTATTTTTCCATTTTCATGTTTCATTATTAAAAATAATGTATTATGCATCATAATATAAAGATTTTAATAAAAATTATCAAGAGTATTTAGTAAAGACAGAAGATTGAACACACACTAAATATTAATATTGGGAGGAAAAAAAAAATCAATGACATGAAAGGGAAAGCCTCCAAATGCTAGAATCAAAGACAGAGCCTATAGTGAAGAGCATTTTCTGACAATATTCAATGTATAATGGAAAGCTACACTAAATGCTGGGCTTGTTGGAAGTTGGAACTGGAAAGTTGATGTTCAATGAATCGTGGATTAAAAATGGATCCCATGGGGCGCCTGAGTGGCTCAGTCGTTAAGCGTCTGCCTTCGGCTCAGGTCATGATCCCAGCCTCCTGGGATCGAGCCCCGCATGAGGTTCTCTGCTGAGGGGAAGACTGCTTCCTCCCTCTCCCACTCCCCGTGCTTGTGTTCCCTCTCTCACTGTATCTCTCTCTGTCAAATAAATAAATAAAATCTTCAAAAAGAATTTTTTTTTAGAAATGGATCCCACTAAGGGACTGGATGTGAAAACTTTTAAAAATAGGTAACTGTTAGGGAGTCTGGGTGGCTCAGTTGGTTAAATGGCTGCCTTCAGCTCAGGTCATGATCTCAGAGCCCTGGGATCGAGTCCTGCATCAGTCTCCCTGCTCTGTGGGGAGCCTGCTTCTCCTTCTCCCCTGATTGTGCTCTCTAGCTCTCTCTCTCTGTCTCTCAAATAAAGAAATAAAATCTTAAAAAGAAATAAAATAGGTAACTGTGGTATGCCATTGAGAAACTAGAGAAATCAAAAGGATATATTTTTTACTTCTAGTTGTCCAAACTTTTATCAAATGTCTCTTCAATATTTAATATCATAATTTTTGTCTCTTTGTTAATTTTGATATATGTTGAAAAGTACCGAAATGTTTCTCTACTTCTGGAATAAATGCCAAAATTTTATTCTTTTTTCATATATTCACTGGGATTATTTGATCATTTTAATTTAGACATTTCACAGGTATTTTCCAAAATATGGATCATTCAAAGTAATGTTAAACTGGTTATCAGAGGAATCAACTTTCATGATTTAATTCTATTTCTATATGCCTGCAAAAGACACTGGAAATGGATTTTTTTAAATCGTACACAATTTACAATAACATTCAGAAATATGAAATATTTAGGTTTTAATTTAATTAGAGACATCTAACTAAATGGAATGATATGCCATGTTCATAGTTTGAAAATCACATTATGAATACATTAATTCCCCACAAATTCATGTATATATCCAAAAAAAAAATCCCAATCAAAATTTTGCAAAGTTTTTTTTATTTTTTATTTTTTAGGGGATATGGGTAGATATGGAAAAATGATTCCAAATTTTACACAGAAATACAAAGACCTAAAATCACCAAATCTATCTTCAAAAAAAGTACAAAATATGAAGAGACAATTTACTTAATTTTGTGCATCAGGGTAAGAAGGGATGGTACTGGTGTAAGGATACATGTACGGATCAATAAAACACAAAGCATGTGAACTGTTTTTCAATAAAGGTAGCATAGTAATTCAGTGGGAAAAATGATAGTTTTCCAACAAACGGGGCTAGAGATATTAGATATACATATAGAGAAAAAATATGCCCTAATACTTAACCAACAAAAGTTACTCAAAATGTATCATAGGCATACACATCAAAGCTAAAATCAGTAAACTAAAAGAAAACTTATGAGAAAGTTTCACAACCTTGGGATTGATAAGACACAAAGTACAAACCATGCCACATATTGGGAGAAAATCTGACAAAAGATTTGCATATAGTTTATATTAAGAATTCCTATAACTATATAAGAAAAAAACAAACAATCCCATCAAAATATGTAAAATATGTAAACATTCAAAAAGGAGACATAGACATATGAATGTTGCACAATCACATGAGACACTGTCTAGTATGATTAGTCATCAGGGAGATACAAATTAAAACTACAGTGAAATACAAGCACACATTGAAATTACTAAAATGAAAGAGACTGGCAGTAACAAAAGTTGGTAAGAATAAGGAACAACTGCCACTCTCATACATAGATGGTTGGAATGTAAAATATTACAAGGATTTTAAAATGCAGATTGATGTTTGTTACAAATTTAATAGTACAATTAACATATGACCCAGCAATTCTATTCCTAAAAATAGAAAAAAAAGACATGTTCTTTAGAAGCATTTTTCATAATAGTTGAAACCAAAAACAACCTAAATGTTCATTAATAATTCCAGGAATAAACAAACTATGTTATATTCATACAAAGAAACACTACTCCACAATAAGTACCAATGAACTACAGATATGTTCAATCATGCAGTTGAATATCAAAAATATAAGCAAAAAATCTGCAATCAAAAAGGATCCAAAATCTATGATTCATTCATGTGAAGTTCAGTAGTAGGCAAAAATAATGTGTTGTGACAGGATTAGACGTTTCAGATACTAATGGGATTGACTGCTCCAAGTCAATGGAGTTATGGGAGAACTGTCTGTGGTAATGTAAATATTTTAATACTTCTTTTATCCACATCTAATTAAGTATAACATAAGTCAAATTAAAAAACAAAACAAAATTCAGCAAGCCAAAAGGAAAACAATATAAATAAATATAATGAAGACTACCTAGACACATCCTGAATTTTGTGCTGAAACAAAAGACAAAGTCACAATGCCTATGGATCATCTGGCCAGGTGTGGAGCTAACTAGGTTGTTGAAGTTTTCAGTGATAACGGGGACAAATGGTCTTTGACCATTGTTGAGATTCCCGATGAGTTCCATCAGTGGGGTTGGTGGTCTTGTAATATTAAGGAAAGCTTATTGTGGTGGTTATTCACTCACCTACACTATCAAGAAAATAAAACTACTTTCCTTCTGCCATAGCCATAAATATAGATAAAAAAATCCCTGGTGATCAAGAGCAGTTAGTCACTCTAACATTTACTGAGATATGTTCTTAATGCATGAGAAAGGGAAGAAATTAGATATTTAGGCAAAAGCCTAATGAAATCCTAAAACCTAGGCTCATCTGACTAACATTTTAGGGATCAATGCAGGTTTTTCTGGATTTGAAGACTAGGAAGTCACTTGGTCACTTAAGAACCAACCTCATGCTCTAAGCATCATTTGTCAGTGACCACTCCAGTTAATGATATAGACATGGAGTATGAGAATGTAAAGACTCACTGCAGCTTATTGCAGTAGGTCTTGTTAAGAGATAAACTGAGGAAAAATCAATTCAAACTGGGCAGCATCTAGTCTAGCCAAAGAAATATCTGTGAAGCTATACAAAATGAAAAGCTTTTACAGGCAGAAGGGAGCGGGAACAAGGAAGTTATACTGGCAAAAAAGCATGTTTGTTATTGCAAAGTTACATTCCTTTAGGGGATATCAGGGGTCTATCAGGCAATAGCTAGTTG